TAAATTCTGTCAGAAAATTTTAAAACTAGGATCTATGGCTTTTAGAATGTGCTGACCATTCAGAGCAACACCTGTGGTCCCAACTAAATGTTTTCCTTCAATCTGAGCAGTTAACAAGAACTCCATTATTTGGGTGAGGGTAGAAAACATTCTATTCTTTGAATTCCAGTTTCTCTTCCCTACATACCCACACATGTGTGCACACACACATCTATAAACAGTTTCTTTTCACCTTGGAAGTGATGTAAGTACTGAGCAAACACTGCTCAGCAATATGCAATTCCTCAGTAAAATACAATTCCAAAACAGTGCCTGAGCACACCATAGTTACCTCCCCTTTTAGTATCATTTTTGTACTAATGGGGGATTATCTCCTGCTATTCTAAGAAGCCCTGTGTAGGGGAATTCATGAAGTTTCCAGTTGTTAAGGATTCTTAGGTGTTTTTTCAAATTTTACTTCATTTCTAAGATCCAGGATTACTCCTCTGGATATAATTTAGGCACCCTCTGGTGGTCAATAGAACACAACTAATTCTCCTTAACATTAATTTGAGTTATTTAAGCTTAAAGGCCAATTTTACGGTTTATGACATATTTTTTCCTAAATAGTTTTATGGTCTAAATCCTTATGTTCAAGGCAAATGGTGCCTCAGATACTTGTATACATATGGCTTTACTCTGTGAAAGAGCTCTTTATAAATCATAAAACGCATGCAAATTTCAGGTCAGGTATTCATTCAGGAACCTCAGATGAAAGAGAGACATGGGAGAAACTCATGCAGATTAAGTGTTTAAGGAAAACATTATTTAAAACAGACCAAATCCACTCTAAACAAGTTCACACTATGGAAATAAATACTTCAACTGGTAACATAAATAAAAGATAGTGTCACATATTGTGAAGTTTTTAAATAATTTAAACCTTAATCAGTATAACTGAGGAAAAGAAAATGTTTCTAACACATTAGCAGAAATAGCCTGAGTAATTTTTTTCTTCAACAGTAAACTTCTGCACTATTTTGGGAACTGTGCTAATAGCACTGGTATTCTGAGTGTTTAAGCTGTGTTGACATGATAAAGTGCTGTCATTTTCACTTGTGAAGCACAAAGCACCTCATTAATTTCAGCTTCATTCAAAACTGAGGCACAACTCCCCATAATAATGTTTACGAATGGGAATGAAGCTAAATGAGTAATAAAACGAATATTGCAAACACTTGTGAAAAGTCATTAATATGTAGAAAAATTGTTTAAAGGGCTGTCTAGGTTCTGTTTATCAACAAACTTACATAAAAATGAGAAACCGTTTTAGTAAATTTGAAATGGATTGCTCATTTTAAGGATTTAAATTTTAATCCTTAAACCTGAGAAAATGTTGCTCTCTGCACAATAACTAACATTAATATAACATATTGTAGATGAAATTACAGTGCCAATGTTAAATATGACTTTATTATGCTAGGTATTTATGAAAGTAGGTATTTTTCTTTTTAAACTCTTCGACTTACCAGATATACCAACACTAAATATATTGAAAATTCAAGTAAAAATATCTTGTTTTATTCATAAACCAGTAAATTTAAATATATTTAAAACATCATAAATAGCAGATAAATCTAAAAGGTTTAAACTAATGTAGTTACTTTCCTGTATTTTACAAAGGAGGAAGATAAAAATAAGAATAAAATATTTATCTAAAAATCTAACAATTTGTTAGTAATAGAGCAAACAAATCTGACTCTTTTAGGTGCTTGCTTGTTAAGCACAATGTTACATCTTTGAATGAAAACATAAGTGTTTTGAAAAATCAATTCATTCTTCACCCTTTTTTATAAACAGTCGAGGGTACCACCCATAATAATCACCCCCAGTGGTTAACGCCCTTCCTTACATTGAATCTGTAGTTGAAAGGCTAGTGCTTTATTTCCAGTTAAGTGAGAAAAGAAACACGCTCTATATTCCTCATTGGCTAATAAAATATTATAAAAATAAATACTATTCTCAAGACAGCTCCTCAACCAAGTACAGAAAGCATTTTATTAGAGCATCAAATCTTTAGGAAGTTTATGGAAAGAGGTAATTTGTTGGGAGGCTAGATGCTTAAAAAAGGGAAATATGGCAACATTCATGCTATGTTGTTTCAAGTGGTATCCTAAAAACATCTCTCTTTATGGTGTGGGAATGCCAGATTTGTATAGAAAAGAGGAAGTGGCAGCGAAGAAGGTCCCACTACAGCCTAAACTGGTCTATCCCTAGGATTCAGCTGTGTCTGGCTACTAGAAGCCTGTGAAAAGCTGTCGAGTAACCAAAGCTTGTCTGTCTGATGGGAATGTGGGTTGACTACAGGCCTGTTAATATCTCACTGACTCACTCCAGGACACCCTCTAAAGGACTGAGATAAATACCAGTAAACAAACCTGTTGCACTAAAACCGTTCTCCTCTGGAACCTGCTAAGAGCTTAACAAAGAGGAGAGAAAAGCACTTTTCTTTTTACCCTTACTGGACTGTGGTTCTGAGTAGAACATCCTTGGGACAAAATTCAACTTCCCAAACTACAAGAAGTCTCAAACATGCAAAATAGCTGAGGAAAAAATAGCCTTCTTGTTATTCTGCTTCTATTACTAAACATATTTTTCTTTTCAAACTCTATAATCACACACCTTTTAAATTGGTGGGGGATGGGGAGTGGGGGGAGGTGGTGAGGGAGAACACCAGAAGCCTATTTTCCTATTAGTTTTGCGACTGAGCAGGTGAACCACTTGGGAAAATCTTTCACCATTGGGTTCTCTGTTGCCTTGTCTGTAAATTGGGGGAATATATTTCCTTTCTGTTCAAATTTTCATGGTTGCATGCAAAAGGGGATTTTTTTTTTCATTGTAAAGGCAAAAACTTTGAGATTATAAAGGGTCCAAGGAGGGTGGATAACCTAGGATCCCTGAATAGTCCACAATTCCCATTAAATTATGTTAAAATTTTGTCATATAGAATTTTTCAAGAAAAAGGAACAGCCTTTTCATAAGTGCCTCAAAGGAAAATTAGGTCCCCACTTACTGAAGACCATTTATTGAACCAGCAAATGGTGTCTTTAGTTTCTGATTTATCTGGTTGCAAAGCAGATCAGCAGCAATTTTTACATGGTTATAAAAGCCTTCTTTATGTTCTCATTTATCTTCATGAGCTGTGTGTTGTTTGAATTTTTTTCATCAGCAGAAAGGTGTTTCAAAATAAAGAATCATGTTCCTTAAAGATTTTAAAACTGGGGGATTTCAGGATTTATTCTGATATCCATGGAGAGCCATTTTATTGTATCAGAAAATTTCAAGCATATAGCATTTTAAACATTTTGCCCATTCATGTTGAATTATTTTGGTATTTCTTGTTTTCTTGAGTTAACTGACATGAAACAAAAGACTTGGCTCCTCCTTCCAACCTGCTTTTCTTTTCTGTTGCTTGAGTCTGCTGGAAATGATGATAAATTAGCTGTGATTCTATTTGAAGAAGTAATTTTCATTTTTATAACGACTTTGACCCCCAAGACAAATTAAATAGAGGATATTTATATAATATTCTTCAAAGAATTAGTTGAAAATTAGAAGAGGAAAATGACAAGAGGAACTGAAAAGAGGAAAGATGAATTTCGGAAGAAATGAGACCAAAGAGAGAAATTGACATGATTAGACACTGAAATAGGATCAAAACCCCCAAGCAGAGGCGCAAGAAACAGAAGGAATTTTAAAAAACGGGATATAGCAACTAGAGAATACTGAATTTTTGAATACATTAAATGAAAACGACAAAAAACATAGCATAGCTTTTCAAGAACAGCCTTTGACTGATAATCTCAAGGCGCTATACGGCTTCTCATTAATTGAGGCAAAGATAGAGGCAAGCAGAGAACATCACAGAAAGAAGGATATTGCCAGTGATTATCAGATAAATGCAAGAAGCTCAGGGGAACAATCTTTTTTGGGAAAGAAGTGCCAATCAGTGACAAATGTTGATTTTTCCTGAGACAATATCAAAGAGGTGTAAATTAAAAGAAAGAAAATCAGGTTGAAGCATGAGCCTTGTAATAAATTATTTTAGGTTACTGCAAATGCTTTTTAAGCACCCCTGTTTCCTCACATATCACAATCTGATCAGAACTACTCCAAAGGTTCTCAAGTGAAAATGGACAGGAAAGCAACATCCAGTGCCTCTGTTAGCCCCTTTCCTGAGTCCGGGAGCTTCTGGTCACCGGCTCCAGACTATTAAGCAGAGGGCGCCAGGGGAGAAATACATCCTCAAACGAACCAGATCCCCAGATGACCCTGGCAGGGTCCCAGTATTCATGGAGCATCCTTCTGTGACTCTTCCTCTTTCGAGTAACAGCTCAGTTTTTCCTCCTGCTGCACCCCCTCAAATCCCATGGAAGAAAACCCCTGGAATTTCGGCTAAAACGCACCCCGCCCCCGCCGTGCCGGGGACTCGGAGGCCGCGCGTGCAGCAAGCTCCTCGGGACCCCGGGGGCAGGAGGGGCGCGCGCCCCCGGCCCCCGCGCGCGCCCGTTGCCATGGAAACGCATTTTGCCCAGCCGCCCGCGGGGAGGCGGGAGGCGGCGCGGCGGCCGAGCCAGGGGGAGACGCTATCGCAAGATGGCGTCTGCGAGGCCGCGGGATGCGGAGTGAGCGCGCCCGCCGGGGGCTCTGCGAGGCTGCTCCTCTCCACGGCGGCGCCGCCTCTCCGCCTGCCATTGCGCCGCAGCCGCGCCCGCCCGCCTCGCAGGTAGCCCCGCCGGCGCGCGCTCCGCGGAGCGCACAGATGGCAGCGACAAGTGTCTGCTCGCCCAGGCTAGCGGGGCGCTCCTGGTTCGGGTGTGCTTGACAATAACGCGTGGATAACTTTTTCTTGCAGCGGCCCCCCGCGCCCCGGCCTGCGGTCTCCGTGCGCGGCCGCGCCCCCACCACGCCCCTCCGCGCCGCGCGCCCCCCGAGGTGTGAGCGCGTGGGGCCGCCGCAGTGATCGCCCGCCGGCGGGGAGAGCGCGTGGGCGGCGAGCGGTCCGCGAGCGCCTTTACAATGGCCCTGACCCTGTTTGGTAAGTGCAGCCTGTCCCTGCGCCGCCGCAGGTGGGCCGCGTCCCGGGGATCGGGGCGGAGGGCTGGGGTCCCGGGAGGGACGCCGTGCGTGGTATCGGGGGCCCGTGGAGACCGCGGACTTGGGGCGCCCGGGGCGCGGGACTGGCTCCTTCGCGCCTCTCCCATTGTTTCCTCTCCAGGCAGGGCCGATGGGCGTGTGCTCCCCTGGCCAATTCTGGGCTGGGAGGCTTTGAGGTCCTGGATGTTTTCAAAGGGAGAATTCACTAAGATGCTAAGTTGGAACCGAAGTTAGCTGGTTGTTTCCAAACCTACGTGTCTTAAGTTGTAAATAAAGCTCCTGGAAAGTTTATTTATTTTTGAGCAAGATGTCTGTGCAGTCCCTGGGATTGCCAGAGGCATGTGTTGCTTCCCGTTGGATTTGGGGAGGGGGAAGAGGGGTTTTTTTCTCGGATTTGGTTTATTCCGTTGGAAACCAGCAAGTGTTGAACTCAGTATTTGTTGAAATTGAACATGTTTGCTGTAACGAATATGAGAGTCGACACAAGAAAGTTGATTACTGGAAGATAAGTAGTCTCAGGAGACTATCCTTGAATATTTTAGGAAAGAAATGTTATTTCTGTGATGTAATTTCTCCAGCACTATTGTTTTCAGTGGTTGAGACTTCAAGGTGGTTTTTTTTTTTCAGTCTGCAGTGACAATGGATTGGGAAGAAGGACTGAAAGATACTTTATTTCCTTTTTACAAAAATGGATATGGTACATTTATACCTCATAAGAAAATTCGCTATGTTCAAAGTATTCAGTTTTTCAAAGGAACAAAGTGTATTGATATGTAACTGATTGCTGCTTCAAGGGCCGTTTTAGTAAGTTACAATATCAAGTTTCCAGTTACGTTTTAATTAAGTAATTTAATCGGGCTCGTTATAGGCATCACATACATAAATGCTTTTTAATGTAAATAATTCAGAGTGAATTAGTCTGCTGGAATCAGAGTTGCTTTTATTTAATTACCTTATCTTGTGAATTAAACTTAGACCCAGAGATACTATTTCCAGAGGTTACATGGCCCTTTTGTAGCAAAACACACTTAAGAACCTAAGACAGCTTTGTCAGTCTTCAGTCTGGGATTGTTACTATGCCCAAAACTTACAGTGCGAGAAGTGTCCTTTCTTAGTTGGTGTGGGTTGACAGGTGTGTTTTGTTTTGTTGCATTTGTTACTAGTGACATTGCAGTTTAACATTTATTACAGGTGTGCATCATTGTAAATCAACTTGCGTATACACTGCATTAAGTTCTCTGGGTGCCGAGAAGTCCGCTTCTATCCCTTACCATGCAGTTGTCCCTCTTTACCCAGTTTAACCATCCTCCATCCCCTGCCCTTCTGGTAAACACTAATTTGGCCCTTATTTTATTTAGTTCACTCGTCGTTTGTTGGTGTCTCTGTACACCACATCTGAGTGAAATCATATGGTGTTTGTCTTCTCCGTCTGACAGTGGAGAATGTTTCTTTCACTAAACATAATGCCTCTTGGTCCATCCATGTTATTGCCAACAGCAGGATTTCATCATGTATATTTGTCTTTATCCAATTGTCATCTGTTGATGAGCACTTCCATTGTTTCCAGCTTTTGACTGAAATGAACATAAGGGGGGTGTGTATTTCTTCGAATCAGTATTTTTCTGTTTTTCGGGTTTATGCCCAGAAATTAAATAACTGGATCATATGGAATTTGTATTTTTAGTTTTTTTGAGGGACATCCAAACTACTTTCCATGACTGCACCAATTACCAGGTTTCCTTTCTCTCTACATCTTCCACACTTGTTATTTCTTGTCTTTTGAATAATAGTCATTCTTATCGGTGTGAGGTGATATCATTTGTAGGGTAAATAAAAAGTATCAGGCTTTTTAGCCCTCCCGCCATTAGGATTGATGATGGATCCTTGTGGTCCTGAATGCATGCCTGATGGCGGGCACCTGGAGTAGGGTGTGGGCATGCGAAAGTGGGTACACCTGGGCTGAGAGACTGGGTTTATAAGGGTGGCGTCATGCCACCAGAACAAACGGGAGACCCAGCAGAAGCAGGGCCATGAGAGCAGAGAGAAGAACCACAAATAGAGCAGAGGAGCAGAGACCACTAGAGAAGGCCAGAGAGCCCAGAAAGAGTGAAGACTTGCTTGGGTCTGGGAGGCCTACCAGCCTCCCTGCCCCCCCCCCCCCCCCCCCCCCCCCACTTGTCTGCCGTGCACTGGATAAATCCCAATAAAAGCCTGCAATAAGCCACTGAGAGCTCCAGGACTCTCTCCTCCTTTACCCTGTCTGCTTGGGTCATAGAAAACCTGCTTTGCGGCCATTCCTGCCCCCTACACATTGTTTTGATTTAATTTCCTTAATGAGGTGATCATAGGTGCTTTTAAAAAAGTTTCTTTCACCAAAAGAAATAATAAAACCTTATCAATACTTTGTATCTAATCTGCAGTACAGGTTCCCCTTCAATGGGAAGTATAGCAGCTCCTATGAAACCTTTTCTACAGCAAAATAATTTAAAGTTATTCCACATCAAAGCAAAAATTGTATTCCGTATATACTGAACATAGGTGTTTTTGGTATAAAGTGGCATAATGCCAACTTCTGAAAAGTGGGGCATGGCTAAAGAAACATTTTCCCGCGTGGGTGGATAATTTTTGGATGAAAGTTAAAAATGATGGGAGAAAAAAAATGATGGGAGCTTTACTCCTAGTTGATACTTTTTTTTGAGGAAGTTTATCTTCCACTGTTGTTGCTAATATATAACTAAGATTTCCAGAAGTGAATTCTCTTTAAAACTATTTCTGACTAAGTTCATTTTCCTTCTTAGTCTGAATTTTCAAGATTTATTTTCAAAGGTGAGATCTATATATTAGTCACTTTTAGAATACTGGCATGCTCTGATTAAAACAGATAAATGGGGGGAGAACCAAAGTGGGTGATAATGCTCTTTAAAAAGAAGTCCTAATTCATTAGATCTTTTAACTACTGAGGTGGAGATAAAGGAAGAGCATGGAATTTGATCTTTAGATAAAGGTATATGAAACCACTCCCAACCCTCAGAATGGGTAAGATACCTTTAAAATTTTAAAGTCAACTTGTGAAAAAATAGAATTTAATTTACAAAAGCCAATTAGGTTTTAGATTTTAAAGAGATTTCTCTATTGTAAAGCAAAGCACACCTGTGTGCAGAGGCTGTTTTTTTTTTTAGTACTGAAAGATCATCAGCTGTTCCCAAAAGTGTGCTTGTAGACCACTCCAGTCATCTGCGATGTCTGTTAAAAATGATGGTTCCTCTGCCCAGAGACTCCAGGATCTCCATTTCTTGGGAAAGGGGACTTTAAAGGGACTCCCTTGTGATTCTTAGGTCTAGTCATGTTTGAGAATCACTGTGTCAAAGATAAAAAGGGGTTTTGCTAAAATTTTCTGAATTCAAAGTAGCCTTGTGTAAAGAGCAGCCCCCAAGGGTGCTAAGGAATGGATTTTATTTTAAATATTACTACTATTTAACTGGTTAGTCTTTGAAGCACTCAGATCCCTTTATATTTACTCTTTTTTTTAAGCCAAGGGGGGAATGCCACAAGGTAGTTTGATGATTTTATTAACAATAAACACACAAGTTGGCTATTCATTCTCTTGGCTGTGCAGCCTGGCATTGGGATTGGTGGCTGATGGTCAGCTGCGCTGCTCTTTCCACAAGAGCTTTGTGGTTTTTGGAGGAGATGTGGTGAGCCATCTCAGCCCAGGGAGGCTTGTTGCACATCAGCAGCACTTTGAGCTCCTTGACATTGTGCACAAGGAGATTCCAGAAGCCACTGGGCAGCATGTGTTTTGTTATCTTGTTGCTCCAAGGTTGGAAATCAGATCCTTCTGTGCACCCTGTTGTCAGGGACTCTGGGTTTTCACCAGTTAAGCTTAATTTTGACACATTGGTCTGACTAGTGCTGGATGTACTTCTTGGTCCTACCTTTGATGATCTTGGGCTTCCTGAGAGGTCTGAGGGCAGCCATGCACCCAATGGGAGATGGCTACCACCTCTGTAGACAGGAAGAGAGGACCTTGATATTCAATATTTTTTGTGCATAGAAGATTTTGGGTGCAGGCTAGAGGTGTGAGGGGGGTGTAAGGAGTCAGCAGAGACAGACTGGGGAGCAGAACAGGAGGATTTACTGAAATACACTGCTGAGGGGAGCAGTGGGTGAGACAGGAGAGGTTGCCTGCACCATATGTGGGTTAACCAGGGACAGAGCCCAGGCCGTAGTGGTGGTGGGCCTGAGACTTAAGCCCTAGGCCATCAGGGAGACCCTGTATTCACTAATAGCCAAGTGAGAGCAGTGAGATAATAAAATTCTGTCAGTTGATGGCAAAGAGAAGGCAGGAACAAAAAACTAGACAAATGTGACTTACCAGTGTTCAAACTCAGCTCAGTTAAGTTCTGCAGAGGTCTCCTCAACATAACTACTGCCCTGACCCTTGCTTGTACGTGCTGGCTGTGTTAGTTGCCTACTGGTGTTCGGGTCTTAGGTCTACCTGCACTACTGTATAAAATACCATAAACTGGGGGCTTATTCTGTAGACATTTATTTTTCTTTTATTGAGGTAACATTGATTTACAATACTGTGTTAAGGTTTAGGAGTATTACCCTCACACCTCTGCATATGTACACCACACGACCCAAGTTCTAATAACCCATGATCATTATCCATTTGACCTCTTTGCCCTTTCTTCCAACCTCCCTCCCGTCCCCTCTGGGGGGGGGGGACAACAACACCATTTTGTTGTCAGAGTCAAAGGGTTGGTTTTTTGTTTGTTTGAATGCTTGCTTCGTTATTCCACATGACTGTAATCATGTAGCATTTTCACTTCTCTTTTTGATTTATCTTACACAGCAGATGTTTCTCACAGTTGTGGAGGCTGGGAAGTTCAAGGCCAAAGTGCTGGCCTGATGGGGGCCTCTTCCTGGCCTGCAGAT